CTTGAACTCCTTCAGCCTGTCCTCAACCTGGATATATCCATCACATTTATCACCCACCAACCAATACCGTTCCCAGACCGTTTGACCGCCCATGCATCTCCCTTTCCGTTTCCACACAACCTGCAGAGTGAATAGCCTCAGCTCACATGAAATCCTCCTCCTCTGTCTCGTCGGTATCCGGCTTGCGCCCCATTGCAAGCCTTGCGGCCTCGTCTGCCAGCGTGATAATATCCCGAAGCAGCTCCTCTGACCTTGCGCGTGCGGACTGTGTCGCGGCTGATGACGCAGCTGGCGACTGAATAGGTGGCAGTGTGTTATTAGCTACGCCCCTAGCCTCGTCGCCGAAAATCACCGTGGACGATGCCAAGGATGGGAGAGCGACGCCGGCATTGCTCGTGCTTGTGCTGCCGCTGGGGGATGGTGGAGGGGGGTATGAGGGAGGCGCCTTGACGCGAACTTTGACTTCCCCGGCGATGCCGTCGATACGAAGATGTACCGGGTCTGGCTCGGCGGACGTTTTAGTCTCGGGGTTGGCTGCTGGAGGCCGCAGGTTCGGCGGAGGGGACATGGCGACGAGCTCGCGGAGGAAGTTGTTGGCGGCGTCGGAGCCGTCCATAAGCCACTTCAGACATATCTGGACGTGCTCCCGTGCGTAACGATTGTGGTCGTCGTATACGCAGCAGTTGAGTAGGCTGACGATTCCGTTGTAACGAATGATTTGGGCCTGAACCTCGGGGTTGCCCGGGCTGCTGCGGCCTGGAGGCGGCTGGAGGAGGCCGGCGATAATATGGAGGATTTGTCCTTTGATACCAGCCCACGGGAATTTATGCGCGGGCTCCTGCATGGGAGGCGGCGGTGGCGGTGGGGGGTCACCAGAGTCGTATCCACGGTCCAATTCATCTTCATCAGCTTGCGCAGCCGTGCTTGAGTTGGACGATGGCCTCTGCGATGACCGACTAGGTGGCTCGACCAGGGCCTTTTTGGGAACGCCCGCCTCCAGCCCCTTGAGCAGCGTAAGAAGCTCGTATGCAGCCTGCCACTCAATAAGAAACGCTCTGGTCTCAGGGAGTTCGTTCACTGTGGTCAGAAGTTCAAGGAACTGCTGGAGCCCGTCCTTAGCGCGCTCCATGTCCCAACTGTCGACCGGAAAGTCCGAAGGATCGCAGTTGTCGTTGCGAATTTGCGCCTGGAGGTGCATCAGGGCGACGCATTCTGGGACGATGCGGCTGCGGAACTGCATGAACAGGAAGTGGAGGAGCTTGACATCCCGGAGGTGTTCCTTGGATATCGTCGAGGGAGGCTCAGCATTCCGAGCCCGAAACATGTTGCTGACGAGTCTCAAAAGCACCGTTTGGGCGGGAGAGATGATATCCTTTGGAATCCGCAACGACTGCCATGCGTATGGGATCAGCGCACTATGGTGCACCGCCTCGACGATCTGCGTGGTGAGCTGGAAAATCAAACTTTGCTCGCCTTTCTCCCAAACAGCGATGAAGACGAGTATCTCTCTCAGAAGGCTTCTCCCGCACAGCATGGCCAAGAACATGCGGCATCGGGTCTTTTGGAGATTTTCGCCAGCTCTGCTGAGAGCCAGACCAGCATTATCCAGGATACACGACTTGACTATCATGTGCAACGCTTCGATCTGCTTGGGGTCGAGAATGTTGGGAACTTCGGTGAGGAGACCGTTCATAGGTCCCTCTCCATATGATTCGTCGTCATCGACATCTTCTTCTGGCAGATAATCCTCTGCAGTTTCCTCTTCGAGCTGTGAATAATCCGCCTCGGGGGGCACTTCAGAGACGCGAGCGGACTCGTCTATGTTCTCCTGTCGGAATGTGTGGGCGTAGCGGCCAACGAGGTTTGCCTTGCAGTTGTCTGTCCTGTGCTGGGCAAACTCCACCGTGGGCATTGGTACAACCCATTCATCGTAGTTGGGATCGCGGACCTTCAACCACCACATATCAACCTCGCGGGACACTCTGCCGTATAACCGGTCCTGCTCGAATTTGTCGGGCTCGTCTTCTTTCCACTGGGGGGTGATTTTGGATTCGTCCTTGACATCGTCGGCACGGATATCCACAGATCCTTCTGGCATCCAGTTCCAGTACAAAGGAGCTATGCGAGCCAAATGCCCTGGTGGGAGACCTCTGGACGCCAGATTTGTCTCGTAGTCCACCAGAAGCTGGCGGGCCTTGTCGCAAAATCTGGAGTTCCTCTCCATCCAATTTCGCACTTCAACCTTGGCAACCTCTGGGCGGAACTCGCCCATAGCATACTCGTCCGTATAGGCGTCCCCGGCGTCATCATCGAGAAGCATGGTGTACCAAAACGACATCTTGTTTCTGTCATTCTTGGCGATCCAATTGTGTGCTTGCTGAAGACATGTGACGAGAAGCTTCTTGTCTACCAAATGTCAGCAGAAAGTCCACTTGGGAGAGCAAGGGAGACCGTACATAGCTCAGATATTTCACTTAACTTGTGTCTGGCGGATTCCTCGAGAATGTCGCCATCATAAGCCTTACTTGTGACGTTGATGCATAGCGTTATTGTCTGGACCAGCATCTGGTCGAACTGAGCGGCGGCACACAGATCCTGCGGAATCTCAGGCTCAGGAACAACCAGCAGGTTTCTTGCAATGTGCATCAACTTGATGAGCAGTTGTAGGTCCTCCTTGAGAGAGGAGTAGTTCTTGGTGATGAGTGTAGTGCTTTCCTGGGGAGTGACGCCCCTGTCAGGGTCGTTCAGGCTCGACAAGGGGCCGATAGAGCGGGTAGTCAAACTAGGAATGGCCGCAGCAAACGACTTGGTGAGCCAGATCCAGATCTCCACGCTCCTGGAAAGAGTCTCTCTGCGGAGGTGGTCAGCACTTTGGTAGTCCTCCGACCGGAGCACATGGCGGGCTCAACCAGACTCACCGAACATCCTTCAAGTTGTGAGTTTTTTCCAGCGTCCTCGTGATGAACTTGGTGACAAAGGCCATCGTTTTGGGGCCGATGGCGGGGTCGAGTTTCAGCCAACCCTCGAAGCAGCTCATTGCGGATGAGAAGCACAGCTCCTCTATCGAGGGTGAGCGCTGGCTGTCGTCGGATGAGTGGCCAGACATAACCGGGAGTCCCTCTGAAGATGCCATCGCCTGAAGTGGTGACCCTGATGGCCCGCTGCTCGCACCAAGTTGACTCCTCAAATCCTGGGCATCCTTCTGGATTGACGCGCGAAGGGCCTCGAGGTCGGGAGAGGACATGCCAAACACGCAAAATTTGGACTGGAAAAGGTCAAAAAAAGGGTTGTGAGTCTAGCAGTTATGAGATGGTAAACTGTGAAATATGCACGTGAGACTTGAAAGAACTGTTTGCTTTGAAGCTCTCAATTATTTGCTTGCATAAGGTGAGGGTGTGGCGGGGAAGCTTTCTTCAGGCCCCATTTCACTGCCAAGTTTTGTGCTTGGGGACCCTGAGAGACAGGGGTGTGAGGCTAGAATTTGGGGACCCCTCGGTGGATTTGTGATCACACCTCCAACGTCGTCGCAACGGCGGGGTAAGGAACACCCCGCGGCAGAAAAATAAAAAAACTCTCACCCAGAATCAGATCAAAGGAGGAGGGCAGCAACAGCGAGAAACAGGGTAGAGGCATTTATTCTGTACATAGACCTTTTAGACAATTCCAATTTACCGATTTCTTCTTTCACATTCCCCCCTTGCGCTCGATTCCCAGCCAGCCCAGCCCGTACCCATCCCCCCTCCATCCATCCCAATCTCCATCTCCATCTTCCCTATCTCCTCCTCCAAACGCCCAACTTACCACTCCCACACAGGACCCCCCAGATCCCGCCGCAGCCATGTCCACCGACTCCCTCCCCAACACCTTCTCCCGGCCCGTGCACATCGCCGTCATCGGCGGCACCGGCCTCGGCAAGCTCGCGGGCTACACGCCCGTGGCCGCCCTGCACCCCACCACGCCCTGGGGCGCGCCCTCCTCCCCGATCCTCATCCTAGAGCACGCCGGCGTGCCCATCGCCTTCCTTGCGCGCCACGGCCTGCACCACCAGCACGCGCCGCACGAGGTGCCCGCGCGCGCCAACATCGCCGCCCTGCGCTCCCTCGGCGTCCGCACCATCATCGCCTTCTCCGCCGTGGGCTCCCTACGCGAGGAGATCAAGCCCATGGACTTTGTCGTGCCCGACCAGATCATCGACCGCACCAAGGGCATCCGCCCCTTCACCTTCTTCGAGGGCGGCGTGGTGGGCCACATCGGCTTCGCGGACCCCTTCGACGCCGGGCTGGCCGCCATCGTGCAGCGGTGCGCGGCCGCGATGCGCGGCGACGGCGTCGTGCTGCACCAGGGCGGCACGGTCGTCTGCATGGAGGGCCCGCAGTTCAGCACGCGCGCTGAGTCCAACATGTACCGCGCCTGGGGCGGCAGCGTCATCAACATGTCGGCCCTGCCCGAGGCGAAGCTCGCGCGCGAGGCCGAGCTGGCGTACCAGATGATCTGCATGGCGACCGACTACGACTGCTGGCACGACACGGCGGACGTCGACGTGGCCATGGTGATGAAGTACATGGCGGCCAACGGCGAGAACGCGAAGCACCTGGTCGGCGCGGTGCTGGACGAGCTGTGCAAGCAGGACAACAGCGATTCGGTGTTGGCGAAGCACTGGGAGGGCAGCGCGCAGGGCGCCGTCAAGTTCATGACCAAGCCCGAGGGGCGCGACCCGGAGGCGATGAAGCGCGTGGAGTTTTTGTTCCCTGGGTTTTGGGAGGAGAGTTAAGGGGTGTTTGTTGGTTGCGAGGGAGTTGCGGGCGGAGAGGGTTCTAGAAAGGGTATCTTTGCACATAGAGCGGAATAGACACACGGAATCTCAAGATCTCTCTATTTAGTATTCGTCGTAATCACTGTCGAAATATTTCGGGTTTGCCGCAAACAAAAACAATATTTACATTTCTCGCGCAGCCTGCCTACCTCCATAGCCAGAATTTACACCCGAGACTCACATCGAAGGTTGTGTAGTGTAGTGGTCATCACTTCAGATTTTGAAACAAGCAATTCGCTTTCCCATCTTCTGATAACCCCGGTTCGAACCCGGGCACGACCTTTTTGTTTTTATTTTCACTTTGCATGTGGAGTCCAGTGTGGAGAGCAAACAACAGACAGGAAGCTCAATTCCCTTTTGCACTGGGCATGAACCAGAAGGAAGCGTGGTCGATCAGAAACGGTATGGTATTTTGTTTGTTCTGTATCCCTCACCCACCCCTGCCTGCCTATACCCCTCTCTCCCTTTCCATCAACAACCACCATGCATTGTATAATCCCCCCTGTCCCCATTTCGTAAATGAATTATCCTACAAGGTATCCATAAGTACAGCGCCCGTGGTAAATGCTGATAACCTAATGACGGCGGTGACAAAATAAAAACAAAAAACCTCGAAAACCCCTGCCACAAACGCCATACACAACTAGCCCTTCAGTCTCAAGCATCTTTCCAATCCGTCCCATGCTGGCCGTCTACATCAGCTGATAAAGCGCCCTGACTGCCTTCTCCGCAGCAGCGACATGCCACGGCCTGACATCTGCCTCCCTATCCACCACGCCCCTTGCCCGCGCCAGCGTGCCCAAGCCGCGGAAGTACAGGAGCATGTCGCGCAGCAGGTTTTCATAGAGCACCGGTCGCTGGTCGGTATGCACGATGTTGACCTCCATTGCGACCGGTGCATCCTCAGGCCGCGCGCTGCAGCGCTTGATAAGGTACCCGCTCGCCAGGGACGGGTTCAGTTCCGTCAGCGACGTCGAGTTGTTGAGCCGGTGCGAGACCACCACCCCCCATGTGGCGTCCGTGACATCAACAAGGGTGGCATCCGCTTCCAGCTCTGATACCTCGTTGCCGCCTGGCGTGGTGGCGTTGGCCGTCCCGCCACCGCCTCCCATCGGCGTGGGAGGGTTACCGCTCTGGTCCGGCGAAACGATCGAGGGCTGGGGCGTCGAAACGGGCGTCGTGTAGAACGCCGACGGCGCGGTCAGAGAGATCTTGTTCACCGGCGGTACGAGCTGCAGCGACGGGTTGGTGTCCACCGTCATGAGGCAGAGGCTGACGGGAGTCTTGGGCTGTTCGTTCTGCGCGAGGCCGGTCCAGATGTCGGCCTCCTGCTGGTCCATCGGCCCGCACTTGGTGATGATGACCTTCCAGTGGACCTTCCACATTGAAATTAAGTCATTAGTCGTATCCCATATCTCGTGTGCCACGTCCGACAGCGCCGTCGACAAGGGCTTTCCCCGCCTGCCCAGGCAGTACGACGCTGTCATCTGTTTGCTTCCCTGGTTGTCTGTCCAGGCAACCGATACCCATCGCTCGTCCACGCTCTGCGCGTATGCGATGTGTATGTGGGAGTTCTCGCGTAGAAGGTTTGGTGAGGGTGTTGTGGTCACCTTGAAGTCCACGGACTTCGGCAGCGCCTGCTCGAGGATGATGGCCGGCGCCGGCATTGCACCACCGAAGAGGGTGCACCGGTCGTAGGTCTCGAGGCAGAGCCGGGCGCTCTCAAGCGGGGTAAGTGTCCCCATTGACGTCTCCATGGCGACGAGGTCAAGGGGGACGAGCTGAAGGACCAGGTCATTGAGAATTGACTTCTTCCACTCGACCATGGCCTTCTTGTAGTGCTCAAAGAGATCCAAGAAAGCCGCGCACGAGTCCACGATGGAACTCGGGTTATCGGGCGAGTACACAAAGTAGACCACGAAGTTCTTCTCCGTCAACGACGAGGAGGCCAATGCCTGGATGAGGTTCGTCATGTTGTCGGTGAGCAATGTTTGGGTCCGAGGCCCTCCAAGCCCAGGAGATACTGTCTCCTGGTCTGGGAAAAAGGGAAAGAGCCCGTCAGCAACACCGCTCGATGATGCCAAAGGCTCAAAAGTACCGAGCTTGAAAGACTCGTAAGTGCTTCGGATCCTTTCCACAAAAGAGGCGGCACTTTCTCGCATCCCCTCCAAGGAAGGGAACACACATATCGACACAACATCCTTGGGCCCTCGTGACGGACCCAAGCCAAGAATTTCCCAAAATGACATTGCCGAGGGCAGTACAGAGAGTTGCGTTTCGTGGCGTCGGAGCTCGATGTGAGGAGAGGGAATCTGCCAGATGGGCGGCTTGGTTGGCTCCTGGCCAACAGGCCTTGCTTGCGATGCCCCTCTCTGTTGGGGATTTTGCTGCGGAGGTTTTGCGGGAGGGAGTAGAGACACGTCTTGAACCTCTATAAAAGGCCGGAGCTGACATTCGGCCGCCCCGGACAGAGACTGTGGCAGCGACTTTTGCAAGCCCTGCACCGAGTATCGAATTGCGTTTGCCAGGCTACGGCGAACATCGCCCAGTTCAGAACAAGGCCTCTGTGGGCCAAGCCGCAGCGAGCCACTTGCAGCTTGCTCAGTAAGTATTTGGGCGATTGTGATGAGATCGCTGTCCGAGTTGAAGGGGTAGAGTGGAGCTGGTTCGGGGTCGGCAAAGTACTTCGTCAGGGACAACTCTGGTATCTCAGGAACGGACAGTCGCGACAAATCGATGTGACCATAGCCTGGCGAGTCGGCTGACGTGTTTTCCAGGTCTTTGAAGGAAGCCGCCATGGATATGACATCGTCATCTGGGCGTCTTTTGACCACGCTGGACTTTGCTGGCGAGGATGGTGCCCCGGTTGTATCACTCAAGTCGTCGTCATCAGACGCCACGTCCGACTCTCCGGAGTCAGAAATAACATCATTGAGTCTTGGTGGGCTAGCCGTAGGCCCTCCACCGATCCTAGATAGCAAAAAGCCAATGCTAGATGGAAGCTCCTTGAGGTTCTTCAGCTTCTTGCTTTGATCGGCCGCACCAGCAGCGGTCAGTGGACCCACACCGCCATTGATTTGGGCGCCTTCCTTGCCTTTGATTGACGGTATGGTATAGTTGAAGGGTCCGCTCTCTTGGTACTTCTTGTTGGTGAGCGAAAGAGTCGAACTGAAATCAACCTTCTCAAATACGCTCCTACGCCGCAACCGCGTGTTCTTGGCTGGGTACTGTCGTATAGGAGGTGTAGGAATTGAGGCCCGAATTCTTTTGTAGACGGTCTCGGAATTGAATGGACTCGGGTGTCTCTTGATGCCCACCGCGGAATTAGCATTATAACTCTCCATATTACTCGTCTGCCGACTCTCTTCGGCAAGTGTGCTGCGGGCATGTTTGAGCTCGGGTTTGGTAAATTCCGGCGCTGGGGGGCGGGGATTTCCATGGGTGTTTTCGACTTTGATCATCTGCGGTGGTGGCTCGAGATCATGGCTGATATCCATCGCCATATCCAAACCTTGGCCCAGATCACCCAGCCCGGGGAGACTAAAGCCACCTCCAGGATCTTCGTCGAAGAAATTAAAGTCGGCGTCGGTCAGCTCGTTCCCCTCGAACATGTTTTCCCCGAGGTCGCCGTAGATATTCTCGCCCTCTAGAAACGAGGCCCCGGGTTGCTGCTCACGCTTCTGCTCGGGTGCAGTCCAGCCTCCATCAGAGCCCATTCCTCCCGGAACAGGTTGGTGCATCACTGTCTCCATCTCAGCCATTGCCGTTGCTGCTGGCTGATTTCCCGGGCTCAAGACTGTGCCGTCGAAAGAAGGTGTGACGCCCAGCTGCTGGACTCCGTCTGGGGGCGTAGGATACATCATCCCGGCTGCCGCAGCGGCCCCTCCGTTGCTCAAGCGGCGAATGTTTAGTGGTGAAAAGCTGCTTATGGGGGGATTTCTCGCGTCGCCATCGGCCAGATCACGGGGTTCGTCCACAACAACTCGCTCCTTGGCTCTTCTCTCTAGGGCCTCGTCACGCTCCGAGAGTCCTTTGCACCAGTCCTTCGCCTCGCGCAAGGGATCCACATATTCTGCACCGCCTTGTTGCCCCTTTTCGAGGCGACCGTCAAAACTGGGCTCAATCTTCGGTTTTCGAAAGCAGAGAACGGATGGCCAAGGTGCTGTTGGGCCCGAGTTGAGAAGAGGCGTCCCCTTCCCGCCCGCTCCCTGCCCATATGGTTTTCGTTGGAGAAAATGGATGTTGAGCCATGCACATCCTTCCAGCAGTGAGGGCGACATGCCACGCATCTGCAGCAACCTGGCGCAGGTGCTCTTCCACTGAGAAAACTTATCCCCTGGGTCTTGGCGAAGTCGAGTAATCTGAGTGTCAGGTGATTGCCCGAATCCACCGTCCGCCACATGGCTCTCCGAGTCAACAATGCCTTGCATGGCCCCAAAGGCCCCAAGAGGGGCGGCGAGGATGACGGGTCCGGCCGAGAGGACGTTTGACCGGGCGTCCGCCGAAGATATCAAGCCCTGTAACAACGAGACGCAGAGGGAAATGATGAGCGACCCCGTTGTCGTCAAGTATACCCGGAAGGTCGCAATAGCTGAAGTCCGGAGCAGCTGGCCAAAGTCACCCTCGCCGGGCTGAAAGACCTGGGACGGCAGCAAAACGGTCCTGTGGTTCAGCGGAATCGCTCCTATTTTGTGGCAAAAAGCGGTTGTCAAGGACGAAAGGGCGGCTGTGATGAAAAACTCGTGAATCTCCCTGAGAGGAACCGAGCTGTAGCCCTTCATGTCCGGAATCGGCCCCGTGACAAGCTTGTTGTCCATCATCATCACAGGGCCATTACCCGGCATGATTGGTATTGCAGGGTTGAACGGCTGTGTGACCCTGGCCGGTATATCCAACGCTGAGCCACTCGAAGATGAGCTGCTCGGGGTGTGGGTTGCGTGCTGCCCCGAGGATCGACTCCTGTGTAGACTAAGCGGATCGAAGCTCCCTTCCTCGACCAAGCCTATGAGGTACCCGCAGACCTCCATCTTCACAGTCAGGCCGATCTGTTCAGGCTGGACCGTCAGAGACGGGTCCTTGTCCCGAAGGTAGAAGCACCAGATGCCGCGCCTAACCGCATCCATATACACGAGGTGGCCATCGCTGCGCAGAGCGTCCTCGACATCCGAAGCGTTGAACGTGTAGGTCGACGACTGTGAGGCGACGGGCTCATATATACGGTAAGCGATGCCGGCAAGGTTGTTCTGCGCTCTTGTGTCAGCATGGGCGGGTACCGTTTCCGT